GGCGGAGGGGAGAACCACCGGGTATATTTCAGGCCAGTGGATCTGGCCTCAAATGTCACCCCCTCCTCGGTGTTAGTATTGCGTTGCACGGTGTAGAAGGGTATGTTTGTGGAGGAACTTTAATATATGGAAACTGTGACGTAGTGTGAAGAGCTGAGCCAGCTATAGAGGGGGCCACTTGAAATCGCTAGTGTCAATATGAGAGAAAGGAGTAAAGTATCTAGTCATAGTGAGGGGGAAACACAGGATGGGGCTGGTTCATCGGATGTCTCTTTCGGGAAGATGCGTGGGAGGAGTTAAATCTTGAAAACCGCTGTAAAATACTGGGGAGTGTTTTTTGGGTAAAGAAACCTAGTATGACTGAGGTTTACCGGAGTTGGTGTGAGATCGAGAAGACGGCCGGGTGTTTCTTCTTGCAGTCACCACACAATTTGCGGGGGAAAGAAAGCCAAACATCTAGACTCGGATGACTATGGGAATATGCTCCCGTCCAAACGATGGTTCAAAGTCTCTCCCTCTCCCCAATCTGTGACAGTAGCACCCGTCAAAGCCATCTTTCCCCTCCTCGAAACGTTCATCGCCAAAAGTCAAATCGGGTTTGCCCCCCCCAACCGCTCGGGCCCGCGCACCCGCCCGTCATTACGGGAGAACCCCCATGTAATATTACCCAGGCAGATGTGAAAGGCTGTAATTAGTATCCACTGCAAAGTATCTGGTGTATCAAACAGTGTACTGTGTATGGCTCGAGGTTCCTGACTTGGGGAATAATCCGGCTACCAACAACGTCGTTCCCCTACTCCCGCCTCTCCTCTCTCTCTCTCCCTCTGACTCTTGTCTCTCACTTATTCTATCTCTTTCTTCTCTTATTCACCTTCTTCCTCTCCTTGTCCGACCTTGCTTTCTGCCTACTCATCTTCTTACACACCCCTTCGACCCCCGTTGCTTTCAATTCGCCCGTGCCTTTCTCCCTCCGACCGCAGCGTTCTCCACCTTCGATTTCCGCCGCCCGTTCACGTTCCGCCCCATTCCTGGTTCACTCATCCACATCTCCCCCCCCCCTCAAGCCCTTTCTCAAACGCTCGTCGGATCCGCGGATTTAGGAAACCCTATGCCGAGCATCTAGACTCCCTTCTTTTAATTCTTTATCGCTGTCACTCCGTTGTGTCAAATACCCCATCATATCGCCGACCGTTGCTCTCACAAACCCTCCTATCTCTACTCGACTTCGCTTACTGGTTCCTGCCGTCGCATACCGGCTGGCTCGCCTGCGCGCCGATATAACGCTTCACATTCACTCTCCTTCGGTTCCGGTGTCGGCTACTTTGTCCTGCGAAAGCTACCAGATGAAGTTGAATACTAAGGTCTTTGAGACTTTGCGATAAACATGGGGTCTTTTCTGAGGAGTTTCCGGAGAGATGTGGTAAGTCCCCCCGGTTTGCTGGCTTGGCCGCGCTTCTTTTGCCTCTGAGCATGTTCTGGCCTCCTACATCTTTGGGGCATATCAACCTGCCTGGTTATGTTGGCATTCATTGGGAAAATCGTGAAAGGACATGCGGCACGGCCATTAGATCGCTGGAGAGCCAACCTGTCGCGTCTCCATTACCGTTCGCCACAATTACCACAATGCTGACTGCATCGTTTTCAGGGATCTTCCACTCCTTCGGTCGGGGCGACTCCCGCGAAGAAAGAACCCCTGGCGCTTCCGATGACCCCGCTGGAGAAAATGCTGCAGGAAATGGGTTCGGATTCGGTTCGACAAGACGGTAGCGACAAGTTTTTCGGCATGGAGAACGTGAGTTGGCCCTTCTTGCAACCTATACCCCGGTTTCGCGGAGTTGCTAACAGTGGCTTGTGCTGTCCAGTACGGAAATACTTGGTGAGTGGCCAATTGATGTCAACCATCCAGTAGAGGGGAGGAACCCCGTCCCAGAGTCATGTCACTAATCCCCCGTTTGCGCAGTTACTGTAACTCAATCTTGCAGTGTCTCTATTATTCAGTACCCTTTCGCGAAGCCGTGCTCAACTATCCGACACGAACGCCGATAGAAAGCCTAGAGGCTGCGTTGGCGAAGAACCTTCGCTATCAGAACTTCGCCGCGAACCAGGAAGCTGAGGCACAAGCGGAGAAACAAAGACTCGCCAACGCTCAGCGACCCGGCGCACCTCCCGCACAGCCACCGAAACCCGAAGATAAGGACTCTTCTGAGTACAAAAAGAAAATCGCCCTGCAGTCGCTGCCGCTGTTAGAAACGAAAAATAATGCAGGCAGCTATGGAATGTCCGAATCGCTCTTCACATCACTCAAAGATATCTTCGAATCAGTCGTTGCGAGCCAGTCTAGGATAGGTATCGTACGACCGCAGCATTTCCTCGACGTTCTTCGCCGAGAGAACGAAATGTTTCGGTCGGCCATGCATCAAGATGCTCACGAATTCCTGAACCTTGTGCTCAACGAAGTAGTCGCCAATGTAGAAGCAGAAGCCATGAAGCAACCTATACCGAGCTTACCGCCAGCCGACACCACCGACTCCTCCCGGCAGTCGATCAGTTCGGGCTCTAAAACTCCCAACACAACGCGATGGGTGCACGAGCTGTTCGAGGGAACCCTGACATCAGAGACACAGTGCTTGACGTGTGAGAATGTTTCCCAGCGCGATGAGATTTTCCTGGATTTGTCGGTAGATCTGGAGCAGCACTCGTCGGTCACTTCATGTCTGAGGAAATTCTCAGCAGAAGAGATGCTCTGCGAGCGAAACAAGTTTCACTGCGATAACTGCGGTGGGCTCCAGGAGGCTGAGAAAAGGATGAAAATCAAGCGTCTCCCGCGAATTCTGGCTCTACATCTCAAGCGATTCAAATATACCGAGGATCTCCAGCGACTGCAGAAGCTCTTTCATCGGGTCGTGTACCCTTACCATCTTCGTCTTTTCAATACAACAGACGATGCGGAGGATCCCGATCGCCTATACGAGTTATACGCCGTGGTGGTCCACATTGGGGGCGGTCCTTACCACGGGCATTATGTGTCTATTATCAAGACGCAGGATCGCGGATGGCTGCTCTTTGATGACGAAATGGTGGAGCCTGTTGACAAGAACTACGTGCGCAACTTCTTTGGTGATAAGCCTGGATTAGCATGTGCCTACGTCCTATTCTACCAGGAGACTACATTGGAGGCTGTCTTGAAGGAGCAAGAGATGGAGAACATGAATGCCAGTGCGGCTGATGCGAATGACGCTGCTGTGAAACCGAACGGCTTCCCACACCCTGCGGGATTGGCACATGTTCATAGTGCCTCGCAGATCCCTGTGCCAGACGAGCCCCAACGACACACGGGCCTCCGACGAGCCCCCACCGCACCTCAGCTACCCACACATACAGAATATACTGGTCCAGATATTGAGCCGTCAAGTCCCGCAGTAGCAACTCCACCTCCGGTTCCGCCAATACCTGAAACTGTCAACCGGCCTTTGAGCCCTAAGAAGAGTGACATCCAATTCAAGAAGGAGCGGGCTAAAGAAGAAAAGGAGCGCAAAGCAGCTGAAAAGGAGTTGGAGAAGCAGCGCCGGAAAGAACAAGAAGCGAGGGTTAAGGAAAATCAGCGACGCGAGGAAGCTGAACTAAAGGCTGCCCTGGAGGCCAGCAAAGCGTCGAAAGCAGATGAGGATCGACGCAATCCTACGGAGAACGGAAAGGACGGCGATCCGAAGAAAACCAGCAATGGTCTTAGCCGGTTGAAACGGGGCAGCAAGAGTTTCAGCCAGCGCTTGGGCAAAGACAAAGAAAGCCGTGCCTCGTCGTCTGGCCTGCCGTCAGTTCCTAGTGCCGAGCCTTTAACACCACGCCAGGTGCCATTGGAGCCCGTCCAGCCGCTCTCACCGCGGAAGACTTCCCCACCGAAGGAGTCACACATCGTTCATAAGCCCCTGGGCCAAGATGACGAGCCAGACGCTCTCAAGAGCCCCAAGGGCGACCGGGCAGGGCATGGGAAATGGCGGAGTTTCAGCATCCGGAAGAAGTCGTTCAGCATCCTTTCATAAGGCCCGCCTTTCGCCGATTGCACCAAGCATGCATCTTTGTTCGTCTTTTGCACATAACATACGTGGATTTTTCGTACATACTTTCTTGATGTATCATCACACTTCTCTTCACTACCGGCTCCTTCATATGGCGATATTGCTCAGGCTGCGAACATGTTGCCAGTGGATGCAAGGTTTGAAATGGGTCCGGTCCCTGTCTTACTTTTTTACTCACTATTTGGCTCTTGCCTGCATTGTGATGTCTTCGAACTTTGCTTCTGCATGTTGTTTTAGCCAACCATTGCTTCACTTGTTATTGCTATATATCTTCTTTGACTGCTATTTGATCATGTGATACCCGTGCCTGGGTCACACAGCTGGGCAAGTGAGGCGTTCGGCGAAATGATGTTTTTCGGATTTTGGATTTTACAAGTTATCACACGTTGTCGATTTTACTACCATTAAAAATGGGTTACGGAGAAATGGGGTTCGCAATGGGTTTCAGAAATGCGAAGGGCATCTTTTGTCGATGCCAGGAGCGAAAGAGGGAGCGCGATTCTTTGTGTAGGAAAAGAGTGAAGTCGAGATCTGGACTTGTCACATCTTGTCTGGTCATGTTGAGCATTTCATCCTTCGGGCTCGTGGGATAGACCATATGTATCAACATTGCGTGGTATATAGACCGATGCGAGTACACGCATTAGATAGTAACGAAACTATCAACATTGAAACAGAGGTGTTCATCTTCATACCAGCTAGTACCCACATAGACATATACATGCATCTCACCCTTAGCTTTTAAATTCCAGCATTTGCACATCTCTATATGATTACAGTAGCTCAGCACACATCCCTGTTCTGTCCAATCCATTCAATCCATTTTCAATCATACAATAAACATAACAAGTAAAAAGAAGAAGAAGGCAGAGGTTGGAGCACAAACACATCCTCTTTAAACCCCCCAAACCGGAGCAAGAATCCCAGCAGCAGTAGTAATCATATATGTATGCATTTATATCACACAACTCTCCATTCCCCATTCATATTTTCCCCAGTCTAGCTTTCAATCCCACTCTAACCCAGAATAAGCTCGTACACGATAATTATCGTATTGATCACAATAAGCGGTACTAAAAACAATTTCCCGCAGTTCGTTAGCTTGTGTCTCTTCTTCTTCCATTGTTTTCCCCCACATCACATGACTAGTTGGTATGCAGTAGCGAAAGTGAGGATTCGTTGACATACTTCGCATAACAGTCCTCACACTCGCAATCAGATTAATGGTCTTCGCTTTGACGCTGGTGGTATCGTAGTTTGCGCCGAAGGCTGGGTCGTTTTGTGTGCGGCCCCATCCGACTGTTTTTCATAATTCCATGAGTTATTCATCCATTCAATCAATTTTGTGGCAGGTGGAAGGGAGGATGGCGTACTTCTGGCTAGGAAGCGGTCTTCGGAGAGGACAGCGAGGGAGTTGATGAGGAGGATGATGACTGTGATTATGCGATTGGGTTAGTTACTTGTTGTGTTGTCTCCTGTGGAATGATTTCGGGGTGGTAGGGAGGTGATTAGGATGTGCGCACCGTATACGAGCTTCCCAAGACCGAAGAAGAACATCTTGGGCGGTTTGGGGGAGGGAAGAGGACGTCAAATTGATGTGGTTCTCGAATGATGGTGGTGAAACGGAGATACTGGATGGAGATGGCGGAGGAGAGGCGGAGAAGCCGCGGCGGCAGTATCGCGGCATACGTAATTTTACCCGCTTGGATGTTGTTGTCCTTTTGGATATACTCTTCTTTCTTGACTTCTTGTTAGGAGTATTCTAGACATACTAAGAAAGTATCTATGGTGTCATCATGGGGAGAGATGTCGGTAGGTTGTCAATTATAGTTCTTAACATTTCACAATATACTGATCTACTCACTAGTCTTCCTGCTGCTCCTCGCCGCGATCCCGGCCCTTGTTCTCCTCCATCTCGCCGCAGCTCCCTACACTAAGGTAGAGGAGTCATTCCACATCCAGGCTATTCATGATATACTGTCCTCGGGAATCCCGACCCGCAATGCCTCCGAGACGCTGCGCGCTGAATATGATCATTTTGCCTTTCCTGGTGCCGTCCCTAGGACGTTCGTTGGCGCCGTGATGCTGTCCGGCCTGTCGCAACCGTTTATCTGGTTGAAGGCCAACATTGACAGACAATTTCTCGGTATGTGCTTCTTTCTGCGTTGCTTCAGCAATAGCGCTAATGATGGTGCATTATTTTTAGCACGCGCCATTCTGGGTCTCTTCAATGCGGCCTCATTACTGGCATTTGCTTCTGGTTTGCGCCGCACTGCCGGCAAGACCACCGCAATCTGGTATCTACTCTTCCAAGCCAGCCAGTTCCACATCTTCTACTACGCATCGCGGACCCTGTCCAACATGTTCGCCTTTGGCCTCACCACCCTGGCCCTGCGATATGTCCTCCCAGAGCCCGTGAGTTCGACAGCATACAAGAAGCGGGCCCGCCTCTCTCTCTACCTCATGACCGTCGCCGGCATCATCTTCCGCTCCGAACTGGCCATCTTCCTCGCAACCAACACCCTCTTTCTCTTCGCGACCCGTCGCATCACCATCCAGCGCGAGATCATTCCCGCCGGCATTCTCGGCCTGCTTGTCGGCCTCACCTCCACCGTCCTCGTAGACTCCTTCTTCTGGCAACAATTCCCCCTCTGGCCTGAACTCGCAGCCTTCAAATTCAACGTCATCTCCGGTCAAGCCTCCGCCTGGGGCACTCATCCCTGGCACTTCTATTTCACCAACGCCATTCCCCGTCTCCTCCTCAACCCCCTCACCTACATCGTGGGCATCCCCTTCGCCCTCTATCAGCCCTCCACCCGCGGCCTCGCAGCCAACACCCTCATTCCTTCCCTGTTCTTCCTCGCCATCTACAGCGCCCAACCCCACAAGGAATGGCGCTTCATCATCTACACTATCCCCGCCCTCACCGCCGCCGCCTCCCTCGGCGCATCGTACATCTGGACCCATCGGACGAAATCCCTCCTCTACCGTCTTCTCTCCCTAATCATGCTCGCATCCACCTTCGCCTCCTTCCTCCTCTCTACCTTTGTTCTCCTCCCCGCCTCGTCAGCAAACTACCCCGGTGCTCACGCTTTGAATACCCTCCACGCTTATGCCGAGAACACCACTACCAAATCATCCCCCGACTCCATCTCCGTCTACTTAGGTAATCTCGCCTGCCAAACAGGCGTCACCCGCTTCCTCCAACACCCCTCCTCAGTTTCTTCGGAGTCAACCACACCCTGGCACTACGACAAGACCGAAGACGAAACCACCAAGTCATCCCCGGCCTTCTGGTCACAGTTCGACTACGCCCTCGTCGAGCCGGGCGAAGAGACCGAGAAGATCCTCGGATCCTGGGAAGTCGTAGACTCTGTTGATGGATTCGCAGGACTCAGGATAGTTCGGCCGGGTGATGAGGCCGTCGGAGCTGTGGAGGAGAAAGTGCTTGCGTATGTGTTGGGGGATGAAGGGGTGAGGTTGTTCGAGAAGGCGAGGGGATTTGTGAGGGATGTGGTTACGAAGGGGTGGTGGGTTGAGGTGAGGATGGAGCCGAAGATCAGGATTTTGAGGAGAGGGGTGGAAGTATGAGATTTGATAGATTATTCAGGTTTCGTAAGAACTTACAGAGATACCCTTGTTGGATTGTCGGAGTTGGGATAGTAGTGGTAGTAGTCAAGTCTACTACTCGTGATACTAGAACCATAGAGCGGTCAGTGACTGCTGTGTACTAAGTTCTTATCTTAATTAGTACGTTTCCAGCCTGGTCATACTAAGCTGAAGCATCATGATGATGACGACGGATAGTCCTTTCTCAACAAAGAAGGAAGTGCCATGAACTGAGACTAATTTGTGTGTTTGACTAGTCTGTGATGCAAGAGGGACGTTGGGAATAAAGATTCCTACAGCATTAGCTCCATATGAACCCCGCCTGCAGCCTTGGGAGGGGGTTGGAGGGCTGTAAGCAAAAAGCAAACATGAGTGAGTGATAAGACAACCACTCATACATCCCCGAGTCCAGTAGATCAAACCAAAGTCACGGTAAATATTTTATTCGAATTTTTTTTTTTTCGATCTTTTGTAGCAAAACCATCGGAAAGTAAACAATAAGGATTAGGGAAAAAGGCTGAGCTCCAGAGTACTGCCGCCAAAATGCAACGTCAGTCAAGGCAAGACGCCCAAGAGAGACTTAAGTCGATTCAACAACTGATGAAAGAAACCTGTGCTCAATTCGAGAAGATCACCAAAAGGAGGCTTGAGTCCAGGAGATTCGAAGACGTTAAGAGTTTTGAAGCTCTCATGAAGAAAATCTCATCAGGCGGGAAAGGAGACGATGCTGAGTCCAGAGTAACGAGACAAAAGTTCCTTACGATTGTGTCTACTATCCAGACACTAACTGGACCTGTAAAGTCTGCTACCGATATAGTAAGTGTCCCATGTTTGGAAAAAGCAAAGGAAGAAGACAAAAGAAAGGCAATCGAGATCCTGGGGAGGGATGTTCATATCTGCACATTTCATGAAGCTAAGATTCACCTTCTAGGCATTCTCGCCTGCAAGCGCTTGTGCTAGTGCTTTGTCGTTTATCCTGGAAATTCCATCAAAGGTGCATAGCATTCATGAGTCAATCCGGGCTGTGATTGATGAAGTTGAGCCACGGTTCACTGAATTAAGGGTATATGATGACATGAGCACAGTCATTAATCCGGTTCTGTTGATCTCTGTCTGCAATGTCATGATGGCCTTCATAATTCTCTGTGCTCAGTGTGTGAAGCTCCTTGAGAAGGGCAAGGCTTACCAATACTTCAAAGAAGGGAAGTGGATTATGTCGAATCAAAATCCCATCCGAGATGGTTTGGATAAGCTAAAGGCCCATTCCGAGCAGAAAGGACAAGTTCAATCGATGATCATGTTGAAGGAAATCCTAAATTCGAGCGACAAGATCGACATTGTGGATGGCAAAATCGATGGAATTTCCGAGTACATCAGCAAGCGCTCTGATGAAGTTGCCCGCCAGGATGATCTGAGTAGAATCAAGAAAGATCTGCGTGTAATTTCGAAGGATGGGGTATTGATGGGTCATCGTGTCTATACGGAGACTCTTCGCATGGCGAAAGACAAAACATGCCAGTTCCTCGAGTCGAAGTCTTATATGGACTGGGCGCTCAACAAGGATGAAGGTGTGCCACCATTGCTTTTGATCACTGGGGAAGCAGGAACAGGAAAGAGCGTCTGTGCAGCCTCAATGTTTTTGAACATCAAGAAGAAGGAAACGTTCGCCGCCTATTATTCCTTTTCTCCGATGCCAAAAAGTCCTAAAGACCACCAGCAACCGCTGGAGGACTGTGTCAGAGCTACGGGACTACAATTGGCAGAGCAGAATTCAGACTACCGGCGACGCTTGCTGCACTTCCTGAAATTTGAGGAAGGAAGGACCCAGGGGACTGACTATAAGGGCCTCCTGGACACCCTGAATATTTGGCTGGCTCCAGATAAGATGACTTGTTATCTTGTTCTTGATGGCCTCGATAATCTGGCAGAGCAGGAATGTAAGGATTTCATGGATCATTTAATCACCAACCAAATCCCCTCCAAAAGAAACTCCTTGCGTGTCTGCGTCACAGGGTCAAGGAAACTATTGCGCGCGTACTCAAAGCGGAGAGATTGTCTGCAATCTGAGGAGATCGAATGCTACACTAAAAGAATAATCGCAGATTACACTGGAAAGTTCTTAAAAAAGAATGATTTGTTGCAGGAAGACTTTCTGGACATTGCTGACCTCAGAGAATCGATATGCGAGGCAGTAACAACCAACGCTCGCGGTAGCTTCCACAAAGTGCAGAAATGGCTTGACAGGATTGAGAGTCTGATTCAATCGGATAACAGAGATGGGCTCACTCGCTTTCTCAGTGCGCTGAGTCGGGGAGGTTCAGATCTTGCCAAATCTGAGCTACAAGATCTTGAAAGAACACTCGACTGGAAGGAGATCGCGGAACTGAATGAGCTAATTATCTGGTGCGAATTCAACATGTCCAAGGATGTCATCCTCGATATTGAGCAGCTTGAAGCCTTTCTGGTACGTATCTCTCTCCCAAATCTTGTGAACCAACAATATACCAATCTAGAATGATGTTGTCTCCTGAGGAAATTGGGGGCTGGCTAATACTTAATGGGAGCAAAAGTTCATTCGCTCGAATTCCCCGCCGTTGAGCTCTCTGCGAAAGAAAATACGGGATAGGTTTTCTTCGGTCTTGGAGGAGAGAGATGATGGAGTTCGACTTCGCAAAGAGATGAAGCATTTGGTAATCCTGGATCAAAATAAGGACCAGCATTCAGCCATTTCGGCCACTATATCCGTCCAAAACACAAGTATCGAAGTAGCCCAACGGTTCTTCTGGGATCTAGCTAATCATTCGGTGATGAATCGGTTCAATTTTGATGCAAACCAGATGGACATGGCGAAGCCCTCAACTCACCGCATTCGAGTCATGAAGCTGAACGCGCACTTGGTCATCGTGAAACGGACCTTCAAATTTCTAAGAAAAGCGCCTGATTCTCTATCACGGCCGGTTGGGGGAATTCTACTAAGAGAACTTCCGGCTCATCTAGCAGTCCTGCAGGAACCCTCTCA